GGGGGAAGAAAAGGCGGCAGTAATTAGCGAAGTGGAGAGGACTTACTTGGGCTGACGGATTTCGTGTTTCTTTTTTCTTGGTTGAATATTAGCCGACTTAAGGATCATCGCGGGGATGAGTCAGTGTGTCCGCATCACAGATCTCGCTTTCGCTCTTTCTCTCTCTCTCTGCAAAGTTGGTACTAGGTTGAATGTTATGGCGCATGTATCTGCTTCTTTTCGTTAAGGTTTTGATTTCTATTTTCGATGCCTTTTTCTCTCTCCACTTCAGCGATGAAGACATGATATCCCTGGCTTCCTCAATGTCCCTTACCTACGCTCCCTCCTCAGCTTATGGCATGATGGGCAGTAGTCGATTTGGCAGTGATTCACCCATTCCAGAAGCTGCAAACAGTCCAACCGATGACTTCACTAGCATTACCAACCAACTTCAAGCTCTTGAAAGATGTCCAGATCCTCCGGAGGTGAATGCCAAGAACGAAAAAGATGAACTCCCCTTTGGAAATATGAATGAGACTAAGGGTGAGTAGTTCTGTATTTTCCTTGTGCTCTTTTGTTTTTCTTCTATGGCAAAGCATTGAGGAGTGGCATTCGTTTGCATTGAGTAAATACTGTTAGTTATCTGAATTTTACTATATGAAGGCCGTAAGCAGCCTTCTCAATCACTGGAAGGTTGAATGATGTGGAGTTACAGGATCGACCCTCGTGTTTACAGAACCGGTAAGTAGGCTCTCCACAGTGTAGACAAGTGCTTGCTGCAATCCAGGAAGCGAGTCCTGAAATTTTAATTCTCAAACGTGTATTACCAATTTATTAACAAAAATTTATAAAACGCGAATCCAAAAGTTAATAGAACAAAGACTCTTTGTTACCTTAGCATTGCCCTCTGAATGTTGTTGATATCCTCTACTTTATCACCTCAACGCCAATTGCTTCTCACAGTTACACAAATGACCATGCTGTCTGGAGATTCATTGTTTTATTTTATCGATTTATAGTATTACTTCTTATCTTCGCTAGAGTAAAGCTCCAGTTTGTAGTTTTATTTTCTTAAAAGGCTCTCCATAGGACAAGGGGATCTTATCGTTTTTTTGAATTGTCTACGCATTTATTGTGGTTTATACACCAGTTGCTTATCCAACCTACTTTTGTTTACACGAAGTATTCATACTCGTTTTCAGGACGAATCCAGTATCACTTCTAATATTCATATATGCGAAAGCACAAATTGTAATGTAACTCCTTTTGGGGCGCTATAAGTATGTACTGTAAAGGTCTCACAGGGAATGGCGTTGATATTGACCCCCTAAAATAAGTTGAAAGAAGTGAGTTTCAAAATTTTCGGATCACCTACCTCGTCATTCTAGGCGTAAAAAGAACTATGAGGTTCAAGTAAACCAAATCGTGTTTCTCCAATACAGCATTTTAACAGATGAAATTGCGGGATTACTGATGACAGTGGAGGCTGGATAAAGTCACTTTTTTGAGTTTGGTTCAATATGATGGCTTTTCAAATGTGTTTCTTGTAGCTTGATGCCAATTTTTCTTATCTTAAGCAAGCATAAGCATACCCGAGGCATTTTATTATCTCTAAGAGTATTTTCTTACATGTCATTCTATTTGTTCAGTGTCTATTTGCGTATACCGTTGACAGCTTAGCCACTACCTAGACAAATCTCTTGCAAAAATTCGATCAAATCATAAAAGTTTTGACCACTCACAACTTCAATCTACCTTTTATGCTCATTCAACCTGTGGCCCCTATTTGCATTGAGCGTTTCTGTCAATGCGACCCTTACATCTTAGTGTATTAGGAAGTCATTTGAAAAGGACTAACTCGCACACAGATACCTCCCTAGGAGTCGTTGCGGTTGCCCCTTAAGCTCCCACAAATGCAATAAGTCAAACACAGATTAGCTCCACTATACGCCCTGTTTTGTCTCAGCCAAGCGCTTCTCTGCCCTGGAGAGATTAAATTACTTTCATAATAGTGCAATGCCATAAGTATTCGCAATTTTCGTTTGGTAATTACCTAAGCTCTCCTTCCGGTCTGTTCATATATATCTCGTTGCCCAATTTTGGTGTCATTAAACTGCAACCGTTTGGACCTACGGCTGATTGTGATCGAATTCGTGCTGTTCCAGCTTCTGTTGAGTATAAAATGCGTCCACAGATCTTTGGCAGAATTTTTGGTAAGCCTTTGACACTTTATTGGCACCACGCTATTTATATTTCTTTATTAGTTCAAGTCCTTTGTTTGTGTTATGTGCGTAAAATGAAGCTCTGTCGCCGTTGATATGTCGGTGCAGAGAAGAATTTTGATCTAAAAGGTTATTTATTTATTTCAAATGGCAGGCGTTGTGATAGGTAT